CATACAAAGGAACGCTTATTTCACGCACCCAAAAATTTGCTTTTGGCGATGGTAGTTGGTGAAAACAACAACATTCGAGAACATGGTTACAAAAGAATTGTAAGAGCATCAATCAGCTTATAAAGATGAAACCTTTAAAGAATTTGTACCTCCAAAGTCGATTTTTACGGGTTTACACAAGTTGTATATACAAATTCTCCAGCTAAATTAAAGATATTTGTAGCAATGGGATCATTGGATCGGGAACCATCTAAAACCTCAAATAGTTCCATTATGCAAGCACTTGAAAGATGCATTACCCTTCCAACTGATGCTTCTAATACAGTATGCAATAGCTGATTTTTTCAGAGCAAACGCTTGTTGTATTATTTATTTTTAATGAATCACTATTTTTATTTTTGTTTAATGTGAAAAACTGATTTTCACGGGAATTACCACGGCAGTTTTGCTTCATCCGTTAAGCATTAATACAGTTTCGTATTGTCTTTAAAGAAAAAAAAGTTAACTTTAAAACGATGCTTTTTTAGAGTAAAAATGTTTGTGTTAATTTGTGACATACAGTCTTTCAAATAATTATATGTGCATTATGGTATTTGTGTTTTTTAATATTTTATATCCTTTTTTGAATTTTGGAAAATGCAAAATTATTACATGGAATCTTGTGCTAGCTACGCAACAAAAATTCTGTCATTATACTTTTAGTTGAACTTCTTTGAATATTGTGTCGCGGAGAAAGATTTATTTGTACAAATTTGTTTGCACCTCTACTGTAAATGTTCTATTTATAAAAATTGTGCTAAATTGTAATATAATATTTACTCTTGTTAGGCTATATTGACGCGTGGCACTAGTTTGTCCGATCACGAACAGGGAATAATCAGGAGAATGCATGAATACGGCTTTAAGTTCGCCGAAGTAGCGGCTAGACCCAATCGGCATAGGAACTGTGTTTCCAGGTTTCTGAAAAGCCCGGCGAAATATAATACAGCTCCACGCAGTGGCCCGAAGATCAAAATCGATTATCGGTGCAAGCGTCGAATATGGCGTCTGGCAGTGGAAAATTGGAACAGCAGAGAAATAAGGGCTCATATGGGACTTCAAATAACAAGGCGTTTGTTATGTTTCAAATGTTTCAAATTATTCATGAAAATCACTTCCTTAAACTTAGGTCAATGGTACCAATTATCAATGTACAATTACAAAAAATATTGGCGTGATTTACGTCAGAATCAGGTATCCTGCAACAAGTGAGGTTTAAGTGGTTACTGTTATGATATGGGAGGGCTTCTGCTAAAAAGGAAAGACTTCTATATGGTTTATATCTACCCGAATGAATCCCAGCATATATGTAGAGCATCCGGATATTGAGTTAGTGGAATTTCTAGGTTCTTTATATGGCGATGATGGGATCTACTAACAGGATAATGCATTAATTGACACAGACAACAAATTAATTTTTTGGTGATAGAAAAACTCCTGTATTGAAGTGGAAATCATGATTTTAAAAAATGATAAGATAAAGAATGATAAGAATCATGATTTTAAAAATTAAGCATAATTTGATACGGCACGACACCTTAAATCGGCAATAGGATGTGGGTGGGTTAAAATTAATTGGCGTGTCTATTTTACATTCATTAGTCAATTCTATGTCAAATCGCCTCAATTTAGTTTTAAATAACAAAAAAAAAAAGTATTAGCTATTAATATTAAAAAAAAGTTCAATCACATCAACATTAAATTAACAGATCAAAATAAAAAATGCACGTATAATTATTATAAAGTAATCTTTAAGTAAGTGTTTTTATTATAAATTTGATTTAAATTTGGTACTTTTTTGTTTTTTTTTATATATTACACCATATTATAAATATAACCATATACCCAGAAAAAATGTAAAATAATTTAACTTTTTAAAAATTTGAAAAAATGTGATGCACATATAATTATTTGTCTGAAGTATAGCGAATTATAGAGATTTTATCATTTACTTTAGATTTTTGCTGGATTTAATTAGTTTTTTTTTTGCCTTTCAGACGCATAGTAAATAGTAATTAAATACGACAAGTATTTTATTTTGTAAGTAATTAAATTATTTGGCAAATTTTCATATAACTGTTTCGTTTCGGGTATTGCCAAATAGCTATCATCAGTGGTCTTTAGAAACATTATTTGTATTTAAATATGGGTTTATTGGAAGAATCCCCAATATTATTTACTGTGAAATCTGTAATTTAGTAACTCGCTACTTAATAATCTCCGGACTTAATAATAATAACTGAATTTAATCGAGTTAGCTAAACAAATAACCTATTACGATTTCCCTTGATTTCAAAAGACGTAGGCAACATTTTTTCAACCGATGCCGAGTGTTTTTCAAAACGCTTGCCAATGAATCGCCGTTGGCTCTTTTTACATTTACTAAACATTACTTAATAAACAGATAGTGTCAGCTGACAGATTAATTATCACCATTTTAAAGCCGTCATATTGTTAAAAAAATTGTATAATTGTTTAAAAATTATTGCAATTATTCTAGTCTTTGATAGATCTTCCTGTTAGTTTATAATCTTTATTTGCATATGGTATTAATATAAACATATAAATCTTAAGCTTTTGTATGTAGTACATTTATGCTCGTATATTTATGTAAGTACATTTGTTTAAATGAATTGAGCCAAATAGAATCTACATTTTTTGTAGTTTTCCCATTTGCCTTTCTGAATACAAGATATACACTTTATCGCAATTCTATATTTTATTTTGTTCTGTACAGTCAAATGTGCAAGTGAAATTTATTCGATTTATTTACATTTACGAGCATTTTTTGTACAAAAAAGATACGAAGTAATACGTTTGCCGACAATTAATTCACGTCCCACTACTGCCTCAGGTAGCATCCATTTGCATCCATAACAACGCCTGCAAGCGTATGGTAGAATCTAACAGCCTGCAAAATGTTTTCAAACGCAAACGCACTTGACAATTTAATTGTTTTTTAATTGATTCCGTTGGAAATTTAGCAATTTGTCATTGTGGACTAGGTTCAACATTATGTTAAATTATAACATTTATTTTAGAGTTTATGCAAGTACCTTAAATTTCATAATAATTTCAACAGCACTTTTTTCTAATAAAGATGTTAAAAAATGCCATTATGGTCTACCATTTGATTAATTATACAAAGCATTAAAAATTTAGTTGAGATAAATATAAAATTATTCAGCCCCTATCACCATAAATCACGAAATTGACAAGAATAACTGCATAATAATAATTCAAACTTAATTCAAGTAAGGTCAATATTAGAATATAAGCTATAATCTATTTTTTTAAAAAATAAAATAATAAGTTTTGCTAACGATATTAGGCTCATATCTTAACGAAAAAACTCTGCAATAAAATCTTATGATTAAAATATTAGTGAAAGCAAGTAAAGATAAAACACGACGCACATAACACAAACTCCTACAGCTATACTGGCAGTTTTGTCGGAGATAAAAATCTTCACAGAAATTGGGTAATATGGGGACCCAATGGAAAAGTGATAACTAATAATGATTAATTATAACAAAAAAAAAATATTTATAGCTAAAACCCATTCGTTTCCTTTAAAAAGGTCTCCCTGTGATTCTATATAGCGACATGTATGATTGAAAAGCACGTCGAATTAATTAATATTTCCTTAAGGATGTCGACACAAGACTTCTAAGTACACAAAATCCTTTGTTTTATTAATAATTGCCATTATCTGAAAAGTCAAAAGTTGCAGCGTGCCAAATCTAGTAAATACGACATGCGGTTGACATTACCGATGTAATTCTCAATATGTGGTCCCACTAATTTTAATTTTTTAAATCCTTTAATATGCTACTTGTATATCAAACATTATGAAGTCAAAAAGCTGTTATGAAAAAGGCACATCCACTCATGTGTAAGAAATCATCACCAGAAACCGTTCATTAATTGAAACGTTTTGATGAAAACTATATAATTAATTAAAAGAATATGTGCGATTTTAACAATATCGGCACATGTCAATGTCAATAGGTAGTTTTACTACAAATAAAGCCCCTTTTAATTTTTTTCACGCCATATTTTCATAAAAATAATACATTGTAAAAATATCTGTATCATTATTAAAATATCTTATAGAGGAACTTTTAAAACATAAAAAAACATAAATTATGACCAAATATATAATTTTATCACTCACCTTGACAATATTTTCGATACACAACCATGACTCACACGCAACTGACGAGATATATCACACGGACGAACACCGTTGTGAGCCAACTCTACAATTCGCTGCCGAACAACATCAGGAAGAGGTCGTCCATTTACGAACACTCCACCCAGCTGATTAACACCGCCGTGACCTGTATTTAAAAATATTCAACAGTTTAATAATAAGACATAAAATCAAAATAATTATATGTAAATTTATATTAGTTATTCAGTTATTCAGTGTGCGATCAAGCTAAATGATATGCAAGAAGCTTCGATTATCGGAAAACGAGATCTAAGAGAACCTACATTAGTTTAACTGGTACGCAGTATATAATATGTGAGAAGATGTATAAGATAAGATGGTTTTTTCGAATGTTTTTTGATCTTGAAAATAAATCCAATATTGATTAGATAAAGAGATATTTATAGAAGATAAAAAGAAATATTTTAAAATCAAACAATAATAAGATTGTCTATTCTTATACCAGCATTGACAGTAAGGCATTTACCACAGAAATGTATACATTTTTTAACCACTTTCTACTTTCTCCTTCTAATGGAAAAGAGTCGATATAATTACAACATCTAACAGATCGAAGAATGGTCTATTCTCAAAAATATATTAAATTATTATATTAAATTTAAATTATATCACATTAAATATAAA